ACCACAAATACCTAAGTCGCAGGTCTGTGCTGCAGACTTCAAAGAAAAACATTGCAACCAGCTTTTCCACGGTGTAAACATTTTCTTCCTCTTCAGAGGGAGATAATAAATTGGCACTTCCTTCACACAGGAAGGTTGTGAAGCTTATTGAGCAGCTCAGGTTTTGAAACCTGACGGGTGCTCTGGTCCAGCAGGTGTTGGTAACACAGGGGGAGAGGAAGTTTGGTGTGAGGATTTGCCAGAAGAAAGTAACTTCAAATTAAATAACTGCAAAAGCAAGTTAGCACATGAGCACTGGACTCGGGGAATATCTCAGTGGCCTCCAGAGACATTTGGTTGGTGTAGAAATGAGCTGGGAGATGGACATTTGGGTGACGTGCATCTCACTGTGTGTATTTATCTCTGAGTTACTGCATGGTTTTATTCTAAGGTAGCTCACAGAAAAGTCAGATACACTTCAGAAATTAAAGGCAACATCTGGGAGACATGGATATATTTTCTTGAATAGTTACATCTATACTGAGCCTTAATTTAAAAAGAAAATTTAAAGGATTTTTTGTTATTTAAGAATCATACGGAATTATCTCTAAATGTCAGGGTAGTTCAAATAGTGATCAAATCAATACTTCACTTGTCTTTCAAGGGTAAGCTGATAAATTCACATGACATGTCCATGTGTTCCAGTGTACATATCATGTTTACATAATAATATCATATGTTCTGAGATGTTGTTTCTGGGGTTTAACGTGTTTCATATTTTGATCAAGAAATAAATATGAGGAAGTCAAATAGGATTTTGTTTCTGTTTCCAGGACTGAGCCCTCAGTCTTATGCCCTGATGGACCAGCAAACACTGGTTTACTTCTTTTCCTAGCAGAAACTGGAGTCCCTCTCAATTCAGGGAAAGGACTGAGTTTTTAATTTGGGATTAACCAAAGATGACTTCTCAAGAAATATTTCTCTCATGTTTTTTGCAAGGTCTTTTGTTTGACATTTCCACTAGAAAAAAAAAATGGGAGCAAGAAGCCGTTTCAGGTACTCAATAGTTGTTTAGATTGTTGTTTTGACTCAGTTGTTCTATACAACAGATTAATTTTGTACCTAGTACTTTAGCCAAAATCAGAAATGAGTGGTGTGCATCTAATAAACCTCCTGTTTGTCTTGATTTGTTGAGCATCTCAATGATGCTTAGTTTTCAGAAGAGTCCAAATAACTCCCCGGGCATAAAAGCAAACTCCTTTCATGGTGGCTAGGACATGACTATGCTTTTTTTCTTCCCAGGAGGCTGGTATGTGAATTTAAGAGACTTTTCCTGGATTCATGGAAATGACAGAGTTTAGCTACTTTGAGTTTACATATTGGGTATCCAGAGTGGGTCAGATCCTGTCCACTTCTAAATCCTATTTCACACTTTCAGATTTTGTCTTGGTGCTGATGAATTCCCTCCAATGCACTTCAGAAACATTTGTGCTTCACTTCCCTCATAACCAGATACTCCACACAGCCTGATCTAAATGATTCTGCAGCATCTTTGGCTCCCAGCAGGAAAACTCTGAATTGCTCCTCATAATTGCTCCAAATCTGCAGCCCTGACAGGTATTTTTAGGTCTGTCTTGAAGTGATATCAGCTCCCATACACTTCAAATTCTTTGTCTGGAGTCACTGCAGCTCCAGACATATCACTGGAATGGGGTGTAATTGTGGTCTCATGCCTTCTCTATCCACCCACCAATCTGAGCTGCCTCAGAGCAGCCTCCTGCTGTGCTGCAGGGAATGTTCAGAGCCTTTCTGAGCAAAGCAAACGAACTGTGGGTTGTGCCTGAATTTAAAGACTACCTTGGAGGGAGGAGGAGTATGAAATCCCTCCTTTAGAACAGTGATTATAACAGTGGAACACTTCAAGCTATGAATTTTGTTGGAATTGTATGATTTACACTGCTCATGGTCCTGAAATGTTGAATTCTCAGTATTTTCTGTCATTATAACACAAGTGGTAAGATGTTATAAGGCTGAATAACAGGATAATGGAGGTCTAAACCATACTGTTATGAAAGTGAGTGGGATTTGGTGAGAAGTAGGGAAATAATCTGGTAGCATGTAAATTTCAAAGAGATTTTCCCAAAAAGAGCAAGAGGGAGGAGGAGAAAGCCCCTTTCCCTGCTCCATATAGATCAGGTTGTGTCCATGCTAGAACACCAGAATGTTTATTCCCAGAAATAATCCCTTTGAACTCAGCAGTGCTAGTAATTGAAGTTTTCTGTACAGGCTGCATGCAGCTTCACTGGGCAGCTGCTGGTTAGCTCATGCAGCCTCAGTTTTTTTCTTTCAACAGCTTCTAGGTGCTTTATAGATGATTCTCAATAAAATGGGAAAGGAGGTGGAAGGAAGGGCTAATAAGGTGGTTGGGAAGTCTAAAAAGAAGACCAAGATAGGAAGGCGTCTTTTGGGCCTTGTTTTTTTTTTTTTTTTACTGCTTTTATGCAGCCCAAAGGACAAAATTAGCAAGACTGGAAACTTTTTCAACCGGTGCTGAAAGTTTAAGTTTAAAGTTTTCACATTTAAAATATAACTTTTAATCTTCTGTAGCTGTTGAAAGACGTGGCCCTGGCTGGCTCCTTGCTTCTAATCAGTGAATAAAGTACAAATACCACCAAGTCTGTCTTTCATCAAGCAAGTGAGAAATCTGTATGGTCACTCTAACACATCTTACCAGAGAGCAGCTGGGATATGCTCCGTGCTTTGGCAAACTGAAGTTTTTTAACTGCTGGAATAGAGTTGATTGAATTGTTGGCTTTTTACAATACAAGTTTTTATGACTTCTTCTAATATAAAACAGAAGATAAAGGGGAAACAATACAAAATAATGTATCAATGGCAGATAATGTTAACCTGATAGTGTACTCTATTGCATAGTTTGAAGAAATATTTCAGACTATTCAAAATGCTTTCCCATCAATTTATATTTGAAGAAAGCAGTATTAATATCAGGAAAATATCAACTATAAGTCAGTGCACTTCATATGGACAGCAAATGGACAATAATGTGGATAAATTTTTTGGAAGAATATAATGTACAGGAATCCCTCTCCTCATTTATTTCAACTCCACGTCAATCAAATAAGGCTGATCACTTGTTGGAACAGTATACTGAGAGAGGGAAAATGCACAAACATGAAGATAAGCAAATAAACTGAAGTGGTAAAAGGACTATATGTATTTTTCCAATATAGAAATATAATACATTTATCTCTTCAGATATTTTTAGAACTAGGGCCACAAAAAAAAAAAAGACAACAGCAGTAACCACGTCTTACATAGAGTGGAAGTAGTCTGTTACAACTAAAGCCAAACTGTTTTTCTCAGGAAGTATTCTGTAGGAATAACAACATACAAAAACAATTGAAAGAAAATATTTGCTCTGGTAAATGAGTTCATACTCATTGCAAGAACAATTGAGTTATTTAGCTTAATTGGCACAAGTGCACATAGAGAAATACAATTATGTCTGTCAAAATTTTCAGCAGACATAGTAGCACATGAGCAAAACTGGGAAAAAAAATCAAGTAATTTTATTGTCAAAGAATGTTTTCAGCGCTAGAAGTACCTAAACAGAAAAATTATTTTCTTATTTGAAGATAAGGTAACATCTACTTCCTATTGAGGTAAATTGCCTCTGTGCAGGAGCCCACTGTGCTCAGTGTTAATCTTTCCATATGTTTCTATGGGCTTTAATCAGGCCTGAGTTTTCAATTTGTCTGTCTGCATCTGTTTGTCTGTCAGCAACCAGTCCTTTGTAGCTCCTTCTGGGCTCACTTTATAACGGTTTTACAAATCTAAACTGGAAAGAAAGCATTTGTTTAATGGCAGTTCAGCTCAAAACAGAGGCTCAGCTGTCAGTCTGAACTTCCCCAGTCATTGCAGGGCTCTTTGCTGGGTCAGGGCAGCCAAGACTCCCAGCTTTGATCTACTGTGGCTTCAGCTGGACTGCTCCCAGCTTCAGCCAGGACGTAAATGGGAAGGAACCCTCTCAAGGAAGCTGCATTTAAAGCTGGCAAAAATGTCACCATCACATCAGTGAGAATGTCTTGTTCTTCATGGTTTGTCCCTTTAATGTCTTTGCTCTGTAAGGTCTCCCAGGCAGTGATTGCTCCTTTGTGTGGGTGAATGTGAGATTTAAAAGGGTAGTCACTGCAGTAATGCAATTAATATTAATGCAAAATTTAAAGTAGAAAACTATGCTGTGATATGGATTTGGGGAATTTAAAAACAAATATGCCAAAAGAATAGCTTTAAATTACTCCTCTAATAATACATCTGTGGTTACATGCAATATAGGCTGTGTAAATGCACATTCTATTCTCCCTTGCATGAATTTAAGTCTACTGCAAAATTGACAGATCCATTCATGCCTATGAAATTAAATCCAAAAAGGTTAGTATAAGCACTAGGTTTAATGATCACTGCACAATATAATTAAAAGATGATGTTACTTGAATATCAGATTTTCTGTATGTATGTTTATTTGGAGTTTTTAATTGAAAATAAACAAAATCAAAAGTGCAAAAAAAAAGTAGAAAAGATGTGTGAAATGTAATGATAATGGTTGACTTCTAAACAGCCAAGGAAATTATAGTCATCTTATGTGTGGGACAGGAACAAACACCTCTTAATTGCACTTCATTATAACGTACCTTTCTCTTCCCAGTTGTATATATTAATTATAAAAATCATGTTTCAGAGATGAAAAGCTGTACAATAGGTTTTTTTTCTTTCCCTCCCTCCCTTGTGCTGTCTGCAGTAGGATGGAAGAACAATATCAACTGTCATCCACAGGAAGAGCTTAAGAGCTTTCAAAGACAAATCATAAAAAGAATGAAAGGCCATTATAAAAAAAGGAGTAAAATGCTTTGATTTCACAGATTTGCTACTTATTAATGTTTAAGGTTCTCTCTTCTTCTTAAAAATATCTTCTCATATTGCTTTGTATGTGTTATGTGCAGGTACATCACTTTTTGATGACTATATCACATGACACGTGGATTACGTAGATCATTATTAGCAGATGGATGTTGAGGGGAAAAGATGGGGAAAGGAACTGTAGCAGCCCTCCAGGACTTGTGTCACTCTTCAGGTAAATTGTAGAAAACTTGGATACTAATTTTGTGACACAAAATGACACTGTTTTTTGAGGTTTTGGGGTTTTTTTCCATTCCAGTTCATTCATGTGTTTCACTGGAGCAGTTCTTAGAGGCCCTTGGAAGTAAGGACATGATTGTCTCCACTCTTTTGCAGCCCCCTGGGATGAAATTTTGCTGTGGGTGAAATTTTGCAGATTGCTTTCTTGGTTTGGATTTTCAGTTCTGCTCTTTCCCACGCAATTAGCCAGGATGTTTCCTTAAAACCTGCCTTCCTGCTTACAAAGCTGAGTATTCTCACTGGTTTTGTTGACTCTAGGAACCACCTTGCTGAGGAAGATTTTGTGACTGCTGGATGTCACCTTTCAGCACAGCTAAGCACTGCAGAACACTTGGTGTGCAATACCTGGGTGATAAAGCAGTGAGCTGCTACCTGGTTATCCTGGCTTTTATTATCCATCCTCTTGAAGCTTTTCCCATTTATTCCATTCTTTTCAATTTCCCTCTATGCGTCTCCTGAAACAGGAGTCTGTGGTGCTGGGGCACTCGGGTGCTTCCTCAGGCTGATGGTTTGTTTCTCCTGAGCCTGACAGCATCTCCTGCAGCCTCTGAGGATCTTACAGATGCAATGCTTCTGTCAGAGCTAGACACAACCCATGGCTCTTTGTTGCATGCATGGCCTATTGATAGCAGGTGAAGACCTGCTGTAGCATCTATGTTATATATAACATATATATATTTTTATATATTCTTGCAGGGAAAAAAAAATAAACTATATTTCATTCGTAGCTAGGACTGTCAGGGTTTCCTGAAAGGTTGAGTGCTCACAGAGATACAGGTGCTGAGATTATGCTCTGTGGTTTTCTGTATGTTCTTTCCAAACTTTTAAACTGCATCTCTTTCAGAGAATAGAGAAAAGGAAAGACATTCCTGTCCAAATGGCAGGTTTGTTATTTTGGTGCGTTCCTGGGGGAGGATGCTGGCTTCTGTCAGATGAAGTTTCCTGCTAATGCATTCACATTTCATCTGTTGTTTTTCCAGATAGAAAGAAGGAACTCCTCTCAAAGCTGCCATACACTTTACTAGCCCTTATGCTTGTTCTGGTGGGAGGGAAATCCTCCAAGTATGGAACTCGAGGCTTTATTAAATTTAAAGTGAATATAAAATAGGCATGAAGGAGATAGATACTATCAATAGGTACTGTTCTCAGAATACAAACTTTTACTTTACTGATGAATTCCTTTATTTTTCTTTCCTGCCCCCTGCAAAAAACCCCTAGCAGTTATTAGTGAAAATGGTGAAAGCTATCAAAGGTAGAACTCCTTTTCCTCTCTCATGAAGAGTTGCAGCTTGAATATTTTTTCAATTGATTGGTAAATTTATTTAAAATAGATTAAACAGTAAAAAAAGATGATCTATTTACAGAACAACTCTAAATTGTGAGCAGGAACTAGATTGGCTGATCATGTGCAGTTCCATAAAGCAGCATATGCTTCTCTGAATGCATTTTCTTCCTTCTTCCTATTACACGCTTTGGTCTGTATTATGTGTCAGAGTAATTCAAAGACACAACAGAATCAGTGCTCTCCACTCTGGTTTAATGTCATTTCTGAAGTGGTTTAACCATTAACATGTATAAAGCTACCTAACTACATGAAGAATAATCACATGATACCGTTTTTTTCCTAATGAAATATTAACTTTAAGCTGGGATAACCAAATTCCAAGAATTCACATAAAAACATAATGAAGTTAATATTAAATAAACGGCTTGTGCAAGCTTTTATTTTTACAATATGTGCTGATGTGTCCCTGATTTAATCATGTTTTGTTTATGATTAATGAATGATTCACCTTGAAGATCAAAGTTTGATTCATATCTCATTAAGAATCGGAAGAAATCGTCTGTTTAGAAAATAAAAGGAAGCTGTTTTGTGTCTTACCCATCACTACAAATTAAGCAAATACTGAGGCTGAAGTTGAGTGTACTTGGGAAAGCTTCAGCTGTGACAGGTGTTATCAGACCTCAGACTGTTCAGGAAATCCTCATGTATAAATTTAAAGCGTGAAAAATTATCTTTTGTCTCTACTGTGTTTTATCATAAATGTTGACTTATGCAGTCATTTATGAACTAAAAATTTAAATGTGGAATTTTTCAGTTTATTTTCAATGTATTTATAAGGCAAAATGAAATACATTCATAAAGAGAAACAGCTAGAAATGTGACCAAGTTTCTTTTGTCAAAAGAAAATGCACAATTGTGCAAGTTTCAGTTTATATTTCACTAGGGGTATAGCTATTTCTGTGACACTTCACCTACATAAAATATTACTAGGTAACAGATCTAAGAAAGATCTGAAGTAAGCTGCAACACTAAGGAAAGTATCTCTTTTTAAACCCAGAGCACAAAATTGTTCCTCTCTATGTTATAAGTTTATCAGTCTTAATGTGTTGGGGTTTTTCTGCTCACAAAATACGGATTAATTTGTAAAGATCCATATTGGAGTGTGAGCAGGTACATTAGAGGAAGAATTATTTATTTAAAAAAAACCTGATGTAATGGGGAGGTTTTCATGTGCCAGTGACCTGAGATCTACAATGTTGTATCTTATAATTTTTACGGGAGGAACACAGTCTGAAGATTGTCTGGGTAGATAGATAATGGTTAATTTGATAGCCTAGCATTCATTGAATCTAACAAACTTTTCTGACAAAATGGTTTTGTAACAATGATAGACAGATGACCGTTCTGCTGTTATCACTGGATGACAGAAGATTATTTATGCCCTAGAATAATGATATAACAGAATTATTGTCCAAGTGTAAATGTAAAATGCACAGCAAAATTCAACTCTCAACTAATGTTTATCTCTAGTTCTCTAATGAAGAGTAGTAAGCAGGTTTTACGCATTAGTTTCTGGCCTGTACTGCATTTAACTTTCTTAGAATAATTCTTTGGTGGTAATGATGCATGAGCTACAGGATGACCAGTTGAAAAACACAATGCAAAACCAGACTGTGTGAGTGGGAGTTTATGCAATGGTTTAAAATGTGTCACTCCAGAGAAAAGTGCTGCTGTTTTCCTGGTGGAAGAAATATTTGTCTCTTGTTTTCTTCATTTACTGATAGAAAAGTGGACAATTAATTACTTATTTTAGGTAAAGTCTTGCAAGCAGAGGATTATATAATTCAAGTTGATTCTAGTGGCATTAACATATTACAGTAACATAAGAATGTTATAGTTAACTTGCTCTGCTGTGAAATTTTCTGTATTATTTGGTGTAAAACTTTGTATCATACTTTCCAACTTAAAGAAGTTTGAGAACTTTTGAAAAAAATGTCTGCTTTCTGGTTCAGTGAGTTCATTGCTGTTCGTGTAAACTCCACATGCTTTACTGGGATTTTGCATTTCATAACTCTTTGTGGCACGTTTCATTCAGGCTGGTTCACCTTGATATTGACATCACAGAGTTCAATGTCTTCTGTATGGTTTGTTTCCCCACTTAAAAATAATATAGCTCTGAGAATTCAGTGATCTTTGTCCTGTGGTTTGCTTAATATTGTGGGTTTATGTTTTTTCTATTTGTTCAGAACTATTTGTACTTGGATTATTAATCTATAACTAAATGTTGTCCTTTGTGTTCATCCTGCTGACGGTATCTGGAATCAGACCAAAGCTCTTTTCCTTAAATTGTGCAAAGCATGTTTATTGTCACTTTCTTCTTCACTTATGATCTTTTGGGGATCACATCAGAAGGTGGAAATATTGGCACAGAGTAGTATTAGTACCTATGCTGGTTCCATCTTTTACAGCCAGAGGCCTCAGATATCCTGTCTAAACCAAGGCTTAATGGGAATTCTGCCTGTCTCTCAATGGCAGAGGATCTGAACAGTCATTTGAAGAATTATGGTTTAACAGGAGCTATGGCCAGTCACTGTCTGATCTCACTGTAAATACCAGCAAACATTGCTAAGGAAATCTCCTGTCCCACAGGAGCTGCTGGGGAAGTGGACCCAAAGTCACTGTGCCATGTCCAGGTCCCTCAGTGCAGTCACACAGCCTGAGGCACTTTGCCTTCAGTGTCTGTGCCAATGGCTGGCTGCAGGGGGAAAATCCTTCTTCCAGGGAAAACTTCCCCCAGAGTCATTACTAGAGTCTCAGTTGTGCAGAGTTGTGCTCACAGGTTTGATCCACTCAAGTTGTACAAAAAATTTCAGTCTTAGGAGTTATTTGAAAGTTTAATCTTAACCTTAAATGAAATGAGCCAAGATTGAGGCCATAAGGAAGCTTTTGTTTGGGTCTAAACTTCACATTTACATGTTCTGAAAAACTGAACAAATGAAAATGAAAAAAATTCTTATCAGAGGTGGATTGAGTTCCCTATCAGCTTCATGGCATGAGGGCTGTATAGCTTCCCTGCTGGTACAGTCATTGCTGTGCTGTGCTAAAAGCAGCCTTAAATGGGACAGTTACAGGATGGACTTTTGTGTGTAGGTAGAGATCTACATGATGAAAAAATGAGATTCTTAATGATCATGTAACAGTTTGATGTTAGTGGCATAGTGTGTTTCCCTTCTCTTTTTCACTATGATAGTGTGTGGCAGATAGTATAAAACAGAGCACCTCAGCTTCCTAAAAAAATCAGTTTTGATTATCTGGAAGCAGAGAATTCTGAAAAAATAGAGGCTTTGTGCAGAGTTTTCAAACTGCTGTTGGGACACATACATTCTTGTATGACTGCTTCATTGGCTGCAAGTGTGCCATGCTGTTGGTAAGCTTTTTAACTTGGGCAAAATTTCACCTGTCGTGAAGCAGAGTTTTTCTGAGTAATCTGTGTTACCTGATCTTTAAAGGCATTACACTGAAAGGAAGTGAGGAATTTCTGGTGCTACACTTCAGATACCTATCTTAGAAATTAACTATAAATGAGCATTAATCTATGCCAATGTAAATGTTGAAAGTTCTCTATGGTTAGAAATTCTGCACATACTTTT